TCTAGCCATATAAACCATAAAAAGAGACATTGATGAACGTGCTGATCTTCGCACGGAGAGGTTGAGTTATTGACGTGACGATCTTGGACCGCCATTTCATGATGGCGGTCGACACATATGGAGCAAACATGGCAGGAAAACAAAGAACGGCCCCATCCCACCCCAGCACAAGAAGGGGCATCGGAGCATGATGTGCTAACTATCCCCCATGAAACAAAAGCTTACAACCGGGGAGGAGGAAGGGGTAATCAATGAGCAAACATGTCGATAATCCAGAGCCCATCCTTGAGCGCCAGCCATGCATGTGAGAACCTTGATGTCTAGAGGTGCCCATGAGTTCCACACTTTCACGGGCACACAACATACTCTCTGCCAAAGAACAATGACTAATAAGCAAAGCAGACAAAGTTGACATTAAGCATGTCATACTTTGGTTCACTATATGTGATTTTCGAACTGTACTCCACCTATGAATGAAACTGAGTGGATGCATAGTATACATCAAGCTCTCCTATTAACATAAGTAAGTTGTTATCTTAAGTTCAGGAATTATCATAGTTTATATTTCTGTAAAATATAGCTTCATGGGCACATTCCACACATCAAAGAAAAATGAGGATGTAGCCTATCACCAACGTGACACGAAGCAAGTATGAGCAACATCTACAACCATTCTACTTGAAGTTCGATGACACATGTAAGAATTAACTACAATTAAATTGCATGCCTATATGGTAAAGCCAAAAAAATTCAGAAAAATATGTGTAACATACTTCAACAATTTTCATGCCCATGGCGCTAGATTTCTCCATGGAATTCACAAACGAAAACATACACTATATCTCAATACTTACCGACTCCCTGTCCTCACGTCTATATGTTGGCAGCCCTTAGGTGTGTTATCATCATATGTCAAAAAATATACTCCCTAATTTAAACGCTCTTATATTTCTTTCCAGAGGGTGTATTAATTATACTAAAGACAATGTTTGCCATAGATTTCAAACTCAATAACTCATTTTTGACAATATATATTTAGTTGTGTACCTGACTAGTTCAGTGAAAAACTCAAACCAGCGGAGAGATGTGTGTACAATATATTTCTACATTCTCAAACCTATTTACATGGACTAGAGATTAGGTCACATTTTTTTTTGATTTTTTTTTGTATAAGGGCATTGGGCTCTTAGGGTTTGGTAGCGCATCGAGTTTCTTTAATGAGAGGATAGAGTATCCATTCAACAAATTGCATGCGTAAATAATACTACCCACATATGACATAGTAGATGCATTGCATGGCGTGAAGGATCCAAACACCTTCACTTTTCCCTTACATTACACGAGTCACCTACGAACAGCAGCACACCACTTGTCACCAGTGGGTGGGGTCGTAGCCACCATATACACAGTGCCAAGTTCAAGTGGGCACACTATCTGCCATTTTGTGCTCACACAAACAACACTATTAGTGCTCCCCAGCACTCCTACGAGCAGCACAGCGTGACAAACGCCCATAGAATCAAATGGAATTCGTGTGTAGGGGTTAGAGCATCTACAGCCGGACTTGATAAATTCGACTCCTGAAATGCCATTTGACGCATCCGGACGCATTCTTAGTGACCAATCACGTCTCAAATAATCTATTCTACGATCGGATACTTCAAACTAAAAACTTTAAATCCATACTATTACATGCAACGTAAATCGATCTCTAAGTGGAGCTTATCCGGCTCCGCCGTGCCCATGTTCGGCGGCCGGCTTCGCTCCCCGGAGTGTTAGTCCGGTTGCCAACGAGGTAGAGTAAGACACGGGGACACGAGCCGGCTCACAGGATTCAAGGCGACGCCGCCTCCCATGCCCTACTCTTCCTTGTCGGAGCTCGGAACCCTGACGGTGTCGGTGGACGTCGGATCGATGATGGATTCGTCCTGGGATGAGCCGGCGCATCCACCATGACGCTGTTGTGGCGCCCGGGCTGGTGCACCATACGAGGCGCCGGAGAATGTGACTTCGCTTTGCCAACTTCCACCGCCGCGAGGGCTGCCGCTGCCTCGTACAGCGGGCACTTCGCACCATGTTTGCGCCGGACGATGCCCATGGTGCGTCCTCCGCCTCGACGCGCCAACGAAGGGGTTGCGTGTCCGCCACCGCGTTCGGATGCCAGACGGACTGCACCGCCTCCGGTGAGGCAACGATGCCGCACATCTAGCGACGGATCCATCCGTCATTTGGACGGACACAATGGATTCCTGATGTAAGGAGTCTGAGCGCTGCCGCCGGCCGGCCTCCTTCCGGGAGCGGCGGAGCGCTAGCCCGGCGGTCATCTCCTCCTCGGGGGCTGCATAGGATGAGTTTGGGGTCGACGGATTTGACATTGTAGGACTCGGATCCACTGCTCATCATGCCAGAGAAAGCCGAATGGGAGCTTGTGGGCGGAGTGGAGTGAAGTTGAGTGGCTAGGGTTCGGTCCAGAGAGCGGATGGGAATGATTATACGTGGGGTCGGGTGGATTAGCGTGGGCCGGAACCGATGTGACGGACGCGTCCGGGTCTTCTTATATCCGCCCTATATTTAGGCTAGATATGAGGGATGCCGGTCAGCCAGGTATTTAAGGCCGATTTGAGGTGTCCGTCTGTTTTTTTTTTCTTTACCAGTCAAGGGCCATCCGTCCGAATCGTATGAGAGGGGTTTGAGGAGCCTCGCTGTAGATTTTTTTCGATAAAGGACGATTTTATTATCTTAGAATGTAGCATCAAGAGGATACAAAATATTATGAGTAACACCCGGCCTCTGCATAACTGAGATGCACACAGCTAAATCCAAAAGTCTAATAAAAAACATGAAATATAAACCGACATATCGGCAACAGTAAAGTTCTATAGACCGACACTATGTTTATATCGAAGGTGGTGGTGGATCGATTCGGAGGTTATGCTGCCACCCGCTGTAGGTGCTCTTAGTTTACAACGCGACATGTAAAATACACCAGCTTGCAGGGTAGAGATATTTCTTGTACACCTTTTTGGATGAGATGTGAGCTGAGAATAAACCAAATGGGTGCACCAGTGGAATCCTAAGAGCAGCGCAGGTGTCCCTGTCCAACTAAAGTTGAGGGCTATTTTCGAAAGCATCGCGAGAGGAAACTCTTCTGCTTGCATGGATGGTTTCACAGGGGGGAAAAGAGAGGGAAACTAACTGAAATGATGTAAACGTTATCTTTCCGCCAACACAGCAATTATGCATCATTTCGTTTCAATTAATGTGACATCTTTGCCGATAGGCCAATGGGCCAAATTTTGCAGTAAACCGGGAGGCCGGAGCGCAGCTGACATTGGGAGAGAACCGGAGCCTTGTGCTGTTCCAGCTGGGGGTATCCATAGCACTAGATCCCGGTGCCTTTCCCAGAAGGATTTTGCATATCATATCTCATGGGTGGTGGCACTGTCTTTCACCCACTCACTGTGGGCAGGGGATCCCTCTTCTCTTTTGTAGTGTAGGAGAGAAGAGAACAATCAAGCTTGGCTGCAGCACAGTGGTCTACCCAAAAGAAGAATTTGTACTGCCACTGAGCTCAGCTGCATATATGCTATGCCTTGGTGCTCCCTCCACCAAATTAATAATTTTCATTTTCCCCCACTCCAGAAAGCAGCAGCACTCACTGTCACTATCAGGGCATGTACAATGCATAGCCTTAAGGTGATGCCTCGCATGCCATGTAGAATCGGATATGACGTAAAGTAGGTTCGGTTAGGAAAGCGGAATCCTCTTCAGGAGGCGGGTGCTTGAAAAAAAAAAGTGTGGTCCGGTGACAAAAGTTGAAAATGTTGGAGGGAAAAGTAGAGATGGATGTGTGGTAGAGTCTTTATTTTTTATTTCTTAATGAGGCCCACTAATGATAGCTTGCATTGTGAAGACAAATTAAATATAAATGCCTCAAATTATTTTTTGTCATGGGGCATATGTATCCGTATGCCACCATTGTACATGCCCTCCCGTCGCTGTCAGGTGGCCCCCACCGCATCACCGAAAAGAGGAAGAGCAGATATCATCATCACCCAAATAGCATATATAAACCCCTTCACCAGCCTTCCTGCCCAATTATTTTCTTCCAGGCTCCAGCGACCGGTGCCCCCCCAATGTTTCCTCTATTAGCAATCCGCCCCTCAGAAGTTTCGGCCTCGTCACCCGCCCACGCCCAGTGTGCGTGCGCGGAAAAGTAATACTAGCAACCAGGTCCCTCCAGTGATTACCACCTGTCACTGACCCGCTCGACTCCCCTAATCCCAATCCCAGTCCCAGCCCTCCACGCGTGCGCCGGCGATGCCGACGCCGGTGGCCGCGGCGCGGCAGTGCCTCTCTCCGGCCGCCGTCACCGCCCTCGACGCGGCCGTCGTCTCCGCGCGCTGCCGCGCCCACGCGCAGACAACCTCGCTCCACCTCATCTCCGCCCTGCTCGCGCCTCCCGCCCCGCCGCTCCTCCGCGACGCGCTCGCGCGGGCACGCAGCGCCGCCTATGCCCCGCGCGTCCAGCTCAAGGCGCTCGAGCTCTGCTTCGCGGTCTCGCTCGACAGGCTCCCCTCCGCCTCCTCCTCCTCCTCTGCCTCCGGCGCCGACGACGCGGAGCCGCCCGTCTCCAACTCGCTCATGGCGGCCGTCAAGCGCTCGCAGGCCAACCAGCGCCGCAACCCGGACACCTTCCATTTCTACCACCAGGCGGCCACCGCGCAGGCCCCCGCCGCCGTCAAGGTCGAGCTCTCGCAGCTCGTGCTCGCCATCCTCGACGACCCCCTCGTCAGCCGCGTCTTCGGCGACGCGGGCTTCCACAGCGGCGACATCAAGCTCGCCATCCTCCGCCCTGCGCCGCCCATGCCCATGCTCGGCCGCCTCCCCACGCGGAGCCGCCCGCCGCCTCTCTTCCTCTGCAGCTTCGCCGCTGCCGACGACGCCGATGTGCCCTCGCCAGCTGCAGGGAGCCTCGCCAGCGGCACCGGGGAGGAGAACTTCCGCCGCATCCGCGAGGTTCTCGCCCGAGGCCGCAATCCCATGCTCGTCGGCGTCGGGGCTGCCTCCGCCGCTGCCGACTTCGCCGCCCTCTCGCCGTACCGTGTCCTCTCCGTCGGTCCAAGCTCCATCGACCAGACGGAACTTGGCGTGGCGGCCGCCATGGCCAGCGCCACCTCCGGCCTCATCATAAACATCGGTGACCTCAAAGAACTGGTCCCTGACGACGGCGAGCTCCAAGAGATGGGGCGCCGGGTGGTGGCGGAGGTGACGCGAGTGCTGGAGACGCACAGAGCTGGCCGTGTCTGGGTGATGGGGTGGTCGGCCACGTACGAGACCTACCTCACCTTCTTGTCCAAGTTCCCCTTGCTCGACAAGGATTGGGAGCTCCAGCTGCTACCGATCACGGCAGTGCGCGCCGGAGGCAGCCCCGCTGCGCTCATCCCTCAGGCAACCACCGCCGCGGCTTTCTCCAAGCCTGCAAGGTGAATCCTATTCTCTTCTCTTTCTACCTTCCGCCAATTGTTTATGCTTAGGATTGAGTTGATTGGCATCCATTGTGGTGACTGGCGTGTGTGCGTGTGCGCGCGAGCGCACCTTTTGTTTATCATATTCGGATGTTCCTTAGATGTCTGGTTACTAGTACTCCTACTACTAACAAGGATTACTAGTTCTTACTCCATGATCGGCGTACTATTAGTTTAGTACAGTACTAATGTTTTGAGTGCAGATTTGTCTGTATGCCCATTGGCCTGATTATTTTTCTACCATGTCTGATTGGTCGAGTTTATACAGAGGTCTTTAAATATTCTACATGGATACAACTTTTTCGTGACGTTGATTGTTTTCTGAATGTTTTTACCCATTCCGTTTAGCAGTATAGTTGTTTTCTCAGTGCTTGACCTGGTAATATGCATGCTTAAGTTATCGACTTAAGCGTGCCTCTTATCTTGAGGTGTGTTGTCATGGCCTCTTATCTTGAGGTGTGTTGTTATGGCCTTTGGAGGTTACGTTGATGCTTGAGTAAAGTACAGACCGAAGTTGTGTTACTGTGGTTGTCATGGTTTTGATTGTCATCCGCGTGATTCCGTTGTCCTTTAGAGGTTTCAATGGTGAGGAGTTTGCCACCTGGATTTTTTTTTTCCACAGTGGGTACATCTTCAGTTCAGATACTATAGTTCATCACAATCAGGGTTTGCAACTTCTGTATCTAAGATTAACAATGATACCTCTATTCCTGATTACCTGTGCTGAAGACCCCTAGTGTTTCTGCTCAGTGTTCTTATATATATTTTGATACCATGACCGGTTTATTTCAAATATCAACGAGAAGATTACATATTTCCACTTTCTGGGAGCGGGTTACTAATTTAAATACTTCTGGACCATCTTCCTTTTGTGTGATGTATTGATGGTTTTTACTCGTTTGTTTACTCATTCATTAGCTTCTTGTTTGTTCATTTAGGTTATTTTAAAGAACTTCTTTGCTCCTTTGACAATTTTAAGCTGTCCTATTTAATTCATAAGGTGGATGATTTGTTCCACCAATATTGCTTTGCGTCCGACATTTTTTATACAATCTCTCTATGACACCACTATCCCGCGTCAGATATTGATCCGGCTATTCCATCGAAGGGTGATGGAGTACTGTCGTGCAGTTGTCATACGAAAATTTGTCGTGCGTATATCATTCCTGTTGTTCCACCTTCATCGGGTGTAAGAATTCAGAGTACCTCGGTAAAAGAAATACAGGCACTAAAGATAAAAAGAGAGAAACGAACAAGGTTTTAAACATTAAAGAAATGCATTCTCATGAAAAGACATTATTCTATTTTGATACAGCAAGTACTCTTTGAACAATGAGGTTCTGATGCACTGGATCTAAAAGTGCTAGCCTTTTCTGATGCACTTAAGCAACTGCAGAGTCAGAATAAGCGTATTGAAGTAGGACTTGATGTGGGTTCTCTGTACTCCATTTTGCTCCTGTCATCTTGGCCTAACGGTGTCAAACTTGTTTTGCAGCTTTATGGATTCGCTCATTCCTTTTGGAGGACTTGTCAGTGATTCCTACGAAGCTAACAGCCTCACAGCAAATTCTTGTCCTCCGGCCCTTCGGTGTCAACAGTGCAATGATAGATATGAGCAAGAAGTTGCTACTATCATTAGAGGAAGTGGCATTACAGCTGAAGACCATCACCAGGGAGGTCTACCTTCGCTGCTGCAGAATGGCAGCATGATAGGTGCTAACAATGGATTTGATGCAGTCAAGGTGTGAAGCGGCTTACATATTTTGCGACTTTTAAGTAAAATAATTGATGCATATGCCGTCGTTTTGATAGATGCATAACTTTGAATATCATTGGTATAAAAGATGTACAGTTTTTCTTCAGTGCAGGTTAGAGATCAGATGGTATTGAATTCAAAAATATCGAATCTAAAGAAGAAGTGGAACGAGTATTGCCTACGGCTCCACCAAGGCTGCCATAGGATCAACAGTGTTCCATACCAGTTATTTCCGCATTATATTGGTGTTCCAGCCAATGGGGAAAGAGCAGAAAATCTGAGCAAAGGTCCTGAATCAGTTGAACTTCAAAGGGAGGTTATTAGACCTTCTGTAGTGTCTGTTCCACATACCAATGCTACCACAACGAGTATTTCACCCCCATCTATCTCTAACCAAAGGACTGACAACCTTACATTGGAACTTCAAGCTGGGTTTTCAAAGAGTGATGAAAAGCAGTCCCGACATGAAACCCTGTCATACTGTCATGATGGCGAAGATCACGTGTCACCATCATCCGCTGCATCTGTGGCGACTGACTTGGTTTTAGGCACGCCTCGTGAATCTTCTTCCAACGGTACAAATTCTGCCAGCTGCAAACATGTAACTGATGCAGAGATATCTGTACCCAAGAAAGTTGATGATTTGAATCTGAAGCCTCCGCAGATCTTTGCACAACCCTTTGCTTGTTCCAAGAGTTCCACAAATATGGGGCAAACATCACCTAGTGCTCGGCATTCAGCAGCTTCTGGAGGTTTGTCTGCTTTTGGTCATTGGCAGCAACCTTCACACCTCGCAGCACAAGGTTCTGATTTGAGTAATTACAAGCTACTTGTGGAACGCCTGTTCCAGGTTGTTGGAAGGCAGGAGGAAGCCTTGAGTGCTATTTGTGGTTCCATTGTGCGGTGCAAGTCAATGGAGAGGCGCCGTGGTGCAAGCAGGAAAAATGACATTTGGTTTAGCTTTCATGGTTCTGATTGCATGGCCAAGCGCAGAGTTGCTTTGGCGCTTGCAGAGCTCGTACATGGCAGCAAAGAGAACATGATTTACCTGGACCTGAGTCTCAAGGATTGGGCCGACTCAAGTTACAGAGGAAAGACTGGCACTGACTATATTGTTGACGAGCTGAGCAAGAAACGGCGATCTGTCATCTTCCTTGATGATGTCGATAAAGCTGACTGCCTTCTCCAGGACACTCTGACTCATGCCAGTAAGACTGGTAGATTCCGAGACTTGCGTGGCAAGGAAGTTGACATTAATGACTCCATTGTTGTGCTGTCAACAAGAACAACCAGAGGCTCCAAAAGTGTGTCTGTTGGAGTGGAAGAGGGTCTTACTTTCACTGAAGATAAGATCCTGGCAGCTAGTGGACATCAACTGAAGATCCTGGTAGAATCATGTACGGCGATCAGCAGTGAAGGCCAGGGTGATAAGGTGATAGTTTCCCCCGGGCACCCTCTCGCCAAAATTCGTGCATCTTTGTGCTGTGGGGGTTCAGTCAGCAAGAGAAAGTTCAACATTTCTGATGACCAAGAAAAGCTGCAGGAGGAATCACCGAGCATTTCCAAGCGACTGCACAGAACATCAAGTGTTCCGTTCGACCTGAACCTCCCCATCGACGAGGATGGTTCGAGCGATGCTGATGACCACAGCGGCAGCAATGACAACTCATATGGCACTCCAGAGAGGTCCATGGACAGCCTCTTGTGTTTGGTTGACGAGCCCATCGATTTCAAGCCATTCGACTTTGACAAAGTCGCCGACTACGTGCTGCAGGAGTTGAGCAATACACTCCACAAAGTTCTGGGCTCCGGCTGCACACTGGAAATTGATGTCGGTGCAATGGAGCAGATAATTGCAGCGGCATGGGCATCAGAGGGTAAGAGGCCTCTCCAGGCCTGGCTGGATCAGGTGTTCGCTGGAAGCCTTGGGGAACTGAACGTCAAGTGTGGTAAGCATGCCAGCAGTTCCACTCTTACACTAGTGGCCTGTGAGGACATGGCAGCAGTCAGGGAAGACAATGGTTTTGGAGGTTTGCTCCCCTCCAGAATAATTCTAGAATGGTGAACTGATGGTATCTGTATAGGGATAATTGTAATTATTTCTAGCTATTAGTCCACAATAGTATAGCATTATTTTGCCGGGAAATAATTTGTAGCCTAGTTGATGATGCATTGCCTTCATATATATCGGCAAGTATATATCGTTTGTAACACTTGTGGATTTGCCAATATAGCGCTGTTATATATGGTGATGCAGAGGTAGAGTACTGAAGTCCATAATCAGTGGGTAATTCCAGGTTTGGCCAACTTCTCCTGCTAATTTGTAGGTTCGTATTGAAATATGTAGGCCCTGTTTGGTTTATAAGTCCTAGGACTTTTTTTAGTCCCAACTTATAAGTCCCAAGTCACTAAAAAGTCCCTACCTGTTTGGTTCCTAGGACTTATAAGTCCCTATAAGACCATATTACAACTATAAGTCCCTATAAGTCCCTCCTTGAGAGTCTTATTTCATAAGTCCCAAATGCCCACTTCAAGTCCCTATAAGTCCCTCCTGTTTGGTTTAGATGGGACTTACAGGGACTTTTTTAAGTCCCTAAACCAATAAGCCCCTGAAAACAAACACCCTCGTAAATGCTAGTGGCTCACATTCTGAGTTTGGCCAACCCCACTTGTTATGCTTATGGTGGTGTAGGTTCATGTTGAAATTTGTAATAATTATGCATAACCCTGTTCCAGCAATCTAGTTAGTCTAGTACACAAAGATGAGTAGCCAATCTGTACACTCTAATTAGCAAGCATATAATTCAGATCAGAAAAACGGCGAGAGCACTTAATCTGGCTCACAAAATCAATGACCACTCTCCCAGGCCCGGCACATACAAATTCCAGACTGATCAATAGTCTAAGAAGTTTCATTAATTTGTTACATAACTCCACATCCAAAACTGGTAAGATTGAAAATAACATTGCTAACTACAACCACAATTGGAGAATGCTAATTCTAATGAATGGTCTGAATCTCATCAACCAATCAACACATTCTGTCTGTTGTTGCAGACCCACATGCTTTGATTTTAGCATAAAGCCCGTTCTGCTCATTTCTCCAGCAGACTATGATATCTCTCTATCTTACATCACTTGTGCTTGCCATCTTTCGCCCAGTTATCACCATTCAAGCTTGGGTCAGTTTGGTAGAAGACAACATCTCCAACATCGCTTACGAAGTGATCGACTCTCAAGCTCCTGAGGAGGACATGGAAGAGGTGAAGTGGCAGTGGACCTGACTTCTCTGGCTCGCGGTAATATCTTCCCAGTACTGGCCTTGCTGCCTTGGTCTGTTTTTTTGTTCACAAAATAAGGAGAAAGCCGTAGTTTCAGTACACAGTACTCAGCATTAGTAGGTAAGTGCATATATATGTTCAGCATAGTGTAGTAGTAGTGCGCTTACTGCTTCTACTAGGTGGTAGTGAGGTATTTGAGGGAAGAGGTGGTGGATGACATGAGTGCCAATGTCATGGTGGATGTTGTTGATCCATCCATAGTCCCGGTCCACGGTCGTCAGGCCACCACGGAGGTAGCTCCATTCCTGCAACGATGAACTATGCATAAAGATGGCTGTTTTTCATATATATATATATATATTTGTAATTAACTGATATATTTTCCTCAAAATAACAATAATCAATATAGCAAGTACCTCGCCGCGATACCAAGGGAGGTCCTGGTGACCATGGTGGTGAAGGTACGTCACCAAATCGAGCCACATCACAAACACCTGTTTTATATGATACACATTGGATGATACCACAATCAAGTTAGTTGTTCAGTCCGAGTGGCTTGGACGCAAGCAGTGCTAACAAAACCGTTAACAGTCGCTTACAGCATATGGAACCCCGTAGAGCTTGAGCACCGGCACCGGCCCAAACGCACACGCCATGGCGATGAGCAGCGCGATCATCGTGAACCAGCAAGTGGTGGAGACGATAACGTCAAGCCTCTCCCTGGGGCTGAACAAATCGCTGCTTGGGTTGAAATGCGAGCCGTTCTTGCCCGGGCTTCTGTACCACTGCAGGTGTTGAGCCATTGGAGAAGATAGATTCAGTGCAGTTTTCAGGTGAGACTCGAGGATGCAAAGCACGATCATCAGAGAAAGAGATTCTTACGAGGTAGACAGGGAAAGCCAGGAGCGGGTACGGCAGCGAGAAGCGTAGCTTCTTGGTGCTTGGCTCCATCTCCTTGTACACATTCTCGGTGATCTGCTCAATTCAGTTTATATCGGCATCAGCTGAGGTTAAATGTGAAGGATCTTGGTTAAAATTGCAATTGGCTGCTGCTACAACCACAACTCCACAACAAGCAGCTGAGGCTGACTGAAAAGGGCAAGGCCTGGTGGTCTATGACTATGATAACGACAGCCATGCAATCGACATGAAAGGGACCTTTGCATTATGAAATGGTCTAGTTTGGTGGGTGACTAAGCAAAGCAAAGCAAAGCCAAGGTAAGATTCGATGCGCATCTTTGCTGATATACGGCGATCAACTTAGCAGGCAGTAGCAAGATGCAGATCTGATCACGTGACAGACATGATGAGTAGATCTACTTAGCCGGCACTTGCAGCTTGTGTTTGGCTGGCATTATTAGTAGTAGTATCTAGGAAAGGACGGACCACATCTCGCTAGCTAGCTTTTGCTTGGATGGATCTTTAGGGGCAGTTTAGTTTGGCAGCCTAATCATATATGCTACCAGTACCAGTATTCTCTCCCCTTTCCTGCTCCACTGCATGTGCACTCTGCATCTCAGGCTGAGCTGAAAGCAATGCTTGCTTGTCCTTTTTCACCCTTATTAACCTCAAATCTGCCAAACTCTCTCACAAACCTTTTACTACCTACTAGTAGAATGTACATATATGAACAATTTAATATCAGCATAAACATTTGCCCACAAATATCTGTCAAGCAAAGTTTTTGCCTCCGTTTAAAAAAATTAAAAATCTGTCAAGCAGTCTAGCAGCTCTGAATCTGAATTGCAATAATGCTGGCGGGTAGTGTTTTGTACGATGAGGTCAGGACTACTAACCGGGTGCCATGACTCGTCCTTGTCGATGTGGCCATGGTTCTGATGGTGCGTCCTGTGGCTGATCCTCCTGAATTATGCAATAACAAACATAAATGGTCCATCAGCCAAAGCTAACTACAGCAATCACTAGATCAATGCATTAACATTAATTGCCGCCCCACAAAAAATAATTAATTAACTAATTGCTGCACAAGAAAATGCAGATGCTGCCCCGCAAAAAAATAAAAATAAATTGCTGCACAAGAAAATGCAGAACCTTGCGAAATAAGTAAAATAAAATTCAGAATCTTGCATGGCATGCACGACGCATGGCTTGTGCCCATCGTTTTCGTCTCCATGTGGGTGTAATTTTCAATGTGGCCGACGTAGGGGACTGTGCACTAGTGTTAAACAACTCAAACTGTTGTCGGGAGATATTTCTCTCAACCTTTTCTTTTCTTTATCTTTAATATAATATAATAGGGGGAGAAACTCTGTTTCGCATCTTGTCGATTGCATTGGTTTGCTCCAAATTTTAGCTCCTTTTCATGATTTTTTATTTGTTTCCTAAATAAACTCATGATACTAGAAGAAAATTCCAGCCCAATGTGTATCAAACTGCATCACTTTTGTTCCAAATTTTGCAGCGTTTGTGTTCCTAATCTGTGCAGGTTCAGAATATGGGTGCATACTAAACTGTCAATATTTATGTTAAGCGGAGTAAAATCGAAAGATGCTAACCATCCGTTGTATGGGACAAGGATGAAGGTGTGCAGCAGGTGGCCGACGACGCTGTTGAGCGTCCCGCTGTCCGAGAAGCTCCCGTGACCACTGCATTACAAGAATAATCATTACTGTATCTCAATAGTAATCAGCATTGCCTGGGACGGCGACGATCTGATTAACTAATGGGTCGATTGCGGCGGGCGGCCGGCCGGAGGAAGGAAGAGGCGCGTACCAGTCGTGGCCGAGGACGAAGAGCGCCCAGAACATGGTGCCCTGCGCTGCCCAGTAGAGCGGCCACACGGCCCAGCTGTTGAGCCACCATGCGGCCACGGCCAGCGCGGCCACGACGGCGACGTCGCGGGCGACGTAGGAGAGGGACCGGAGTGGGCTCTTGTGCCAGCAGTGGGCGGGCACGGCGGCGCGCACGTCGCCGATGCGGAAGGGCGGCGGCTTGGCGGCGTCGAAGTCCTCCGTGGCCTTGCAGCTTTGCTCCTGCTCGGGCGCCCTCCTCGCCACGGCGCCCATGGCTGGATCTGTCTCCGGGAAAGCGGGGAGAGAGATTTGGGGCCGCGGGTTGGGTGGTGGTGGCCGGAGATCGACGCAGATGGGTGCTATTTATAAGCCATCAATTTGCCATTGGTGTACACTTCCTACGTTCTACATGATGGATGGGCCGGTGCACGTGCATGCGCGTCCTCCTCCTGCACGGAACCATCCAGTTTCCCTTTACGTGCCCATATGCTTGCGTCGTGTTTCCATACTGCGACACGATACAAAATGGCGATCAAATTACGTGGGACACATTCCCACAATGACATGTGTGTTTCTAAACTAAATCAGAAAATCGATGGAAAAAAACTAAATGAGAAGAATACGTACC